TTGGAATATAAGTTGTAGGTGATACTATTACCTATGAAAAATTTGAAATCACTATAATTTTAGCTTTTTAATAGTAATAGGAATCTATAATAACAAATTCAACATGCCAGCATTGTTTAAGTATATGTATAGCTTATACATCCTTAATGCGATCCATATTTTAACGACAGCTATTTTCACGCGTGAATTTATCTCAGAGTGCAGCATCACAAATTTTCAAATACTCACGTAATCATCTCGACTTCAAGTCGACAGAAATTATACGATGCATTCGATAGTTGGAAATAATTGATAAAGCGCGCGCGTGAATATCTCCGGATGTTTAATAAAATTTTCATTGCAACCGAACGGTGGGCAGATCCTTGAACGCGAGCCCGTTTATGAATAAGAGTCGACGATTAGCTGGCTAAAATTCTCCCTCGCGCCCGGCTTCTGATAAATAATCCACGTTTTCCTGGACAGACTCATTTCGTGGCTCACCCTTGAAAGAGAATACAAGCTCGTCCAATTTTACTCGCCGAATTACGATACCTATTTTTGTCCGGTCCCTCTTAAACCTGTAAAAAATTTACATACGCGGGATAATCCTTTTGCCGTTTCTCTCCCGCTCGCCTCCCCGCCTCGCCATTAAAACTCAATCGAACGCGTGTTGAAACGTTAACAGTGGCCATCGACGATGCCGGTTAGCCGATTATTAACGGGGGTTACTGCCAATACCGGTGTACAATTACTCTGATCGGGGTCTCGGTAATCGGTTACGGATTGCTGACGAGATCTTGGACACCTCACGCCGTGGTGGCCGCCTATCCGTGAATGCACCCTCGGGCCGGCGGTAACAACCGGCCGGTCGGCCAGGGAACATAATATATTCCCGGTCCGGTGGTACGGCGTTCTAAAGGCAACTATCAAGTTGTGGTCGCCTAATTTACGATCCCGGCAAATAGACACCCCGGCTTTAGTGGACGCGCGGTGCTACGCGGAAGCTTCGATCCTGTGACTCTCCTGACTCCCAACCCCGTTCCCGTTCCTTGCCGGTCGGAGGAAAGTCCCCCTCCACTCTCCGCGTGCCAACCCTCCCGCGGGAGTTTGTTATTAAGGCGAAAAGCAACGCGTGAACTTCACGATCCACGGAGCAACAACGTTGAACAATTAAGTAGCGCGAGGATGCCCTGAGGCGATGGCTATTTGGAATATTAAGCCGAGCTGGCGGGGGATAGGATGTTTCCAGCTGCTCGTTGGATTACTTGGGTAAATCTGAACCCGAATTTGGTTCGTGCCCGGCTGCCGCGCGGGTTACCGGAACATAGGGGTGGGAATGTTGGTAGACGTTTAGACCGGCGGGCTGAGTTTTGGAACCTAGACCTGACCGACAACCGTGCATAATTCGGTTATATCTGATTTTATTACATTTATGGCATTCGCCGAGAGCGGGCGGCTTAATTGAATAGTTCGGAGACAATTGGAATATTAAATTCCCCGCTGCGAGCGTTAGAATCCATAGAACAGGAGTACTGAGTATAAGTAATTAATTAGCTACGGGATTGGATACAGACTGCGAGCTAATTGGAACGGTAGGCCCGACGAACGGGGTGTCTTTCCGATTATTTGGATGGCTCAATTAATTCGGTCCCAGCCTAGATTCGATTTTCCATTCGGAACAGTAATGAGTGTGCGAGTTATTAGATTCAGAATGAAAAATAGTTTAAAAATTCTTTCCTCCCACCCGTGTAATGTAATATAAAAAAAGGTATACGTCGTGCGGGCAATTATAAATTGCAATCGCTGTCACTGTGCTCTGGGTCAAGTCCGAGGCACTCGACATAAACTGTCAGAGGGTTCAAAGTGCTAGCATATGAAAAATAAGAAAGCCAGGGTATGAGAAAAACGAACGGGACGTGGGGAGAAATGTATGTGTGTAAATTACGATACGTCGGAAGAAGGACGAACATTTTTCGGATCGCGATACCGTGCGATCGGATCGGTCGATGTCCCAACGTCGACTGTCGTCCCGCGTCGGACGGGTGCCGGGGGCGTCGTCGGGACGCCTGCGCTACGGGCGTCGCGACTCCGTCAGACGGCGCCTCGACGCTGGTACCGTCGGACGGACTGGTCGGTCGGGCCACCAGTCAGTCTCCAGTGAGCCAGCCAACCTCTCCCTCTCTTCCTCTCGCGCGCACACGTAGGGGCGCGCGCGCGCTCCCGCGTCCTCTCGCTCACACACGCACGCGTGGTACGCGTGCACGTACAGACAGAGAGAAGGAATACGCGCGCGAAACGGAGTGTTGGTACGGGGGATCCACGGCACGGACACGCGCACAGAACGGAACACCCTCTCGCCGGGTCACGCCGGTGTGTGGTGGACCGAGTTACACGCGCACATGCACACCGTCGCTCTCGTTCTTTCTCACGCCCCGTCCCCCTCGCCCCATCGGACTTTCTTCGTCGCACGCGATCCTGCGAGGAGAGAGACTATCCAGCGAACGACACGAGAGGGAGTCCGAGTTCCTGGCTCGTCCCTCGCGGCTGCAGTGCGTTCGCAAACATCCACGAGACAACCTCGAGGTGTCCGAGGCACCGCGTAGACAAGCACGCACGCCGCACGGCACACGCAACGTCACCCGTGTCAAACGCCACGAGGGCGGAGGATCCGCGAGCCGAGATCCCGTGAATCTCCTCCCGCGTAAAGATCGACTTTGCACGTTTCGTCGATTGCCTCGCTGCCTCCTGGCGATTTTTCTAATGCTGTGACACTTGGACCGACCGAGTCGCTGTATTCCAGGAAAGAGTCCTACGATCCCTGCAACTCTCGTCCGACCGAGTGGTGTCCCGTTCGCGACGTGTGCACTACTCCACCCTCGAACTGTTTACCTTCACCGAGTCTAGTCACGATCTCAAGCTTCCCGCGCGTGTTCCGGCTGCTCCGATCCGGCCTACTCGAACTCGGGAAATCGTTCGCGGAATCTCGAGGGCGTAGGAAAACGTGACGAGAACGTAAGCAGCGCGAAGACGCTGGTCCCTTCTCCCATCGTTAAAGCCCGGCACCGAAGAGTCGTCCCCGATGAAAGGGAGGAGGATTACAGTGTTCTGAGGCGCGCGAGGAAAGGTCGTTGATCGTGCGCTGTCAGACGAGGTAACGATCGGCGATCGTCGAAGACTTGGCTCTTCATGGGAAATGAATCGAACGGGAACGCGTGGCGGACGTCGCGAAGCACGATGGAGAAGCTAGCAGCGTGACGAGTCGGGCGAGCGGACCGCGATCGTTGCCGCTGATTTCGCGAAATTACGGAAGAGGAGGAGGAACGCATGTACCGAGAGTGACGGGAGCTGATCGAAGCCGACAGTCCGCGGTGGAGAGAAAGACTTTCACTCCGCGTCGAGGAACTTTGCCTGATCAGCTGACGCGCCGAGTTTGGTAATAGCTGGGAGGACTCGACTTTCTAGGACACGGTGCGCGTGAACGAAATCCTGTTGATTCCGCAGTGTGAAACGGGAGGAAGGTTAAGGGACGCGGGCCAAAGGTTCAGGGGCGTGTATCGACGAACTTCGAGCGTGTAAATAGGTGTACAGAAGGGTCGAGGACGTCGACTCTGATCGAAGAAACGTCCCGGTTTCATTCTCCTCTCTCATCCCGCGCGCCGCGCCGCTCTATCCTCTCCATTTTCCCTCGCGATATTACTTAATAATAACGATAAAAGGAACCGTTACGGCTAAGGACCAACTCGCGCTTAGAGCCGGTTCGAATAAAAAGGTGAACAGCCTCCGTAGAGGATTGTAAGAACGAGTAAAGTGCACGCACGGATTGCGCACGGTGCACGCGTAGGTCTTAATTAGAAAATTAATAATTGTCGGATTTTCGTTCTCTCTCGGCCCGGCGTGGCTCGATTTCGATTCTGTTCCAATCGGTTACTAACGAGACGAACGAGGTGTACGATCGTAACGTTTCGTAAAAGTCGCAAGTCGGAGCAGTACGGGTAAAATACACATTACGCATACGTATATGCAGCGCTTAGCCTTTTTAGCCGTGACGCGCGCGTAATTAATTAGCACGCGGGCATCGTTCGCTGACGCAACGAGGAACCACCGAGGGTAGGAGCGCGTCGAGGTTTTCAAACTCGTGGTCGCCTCCTCGGTAATGGTTTGACAGGGTCGATCGTTGCTCGCGCGACTCGCAGCCTGGAACGAAGCTGTCCGCGAAGAGTCGAGCTCTTAATCTAATTGTAAGAGGAAGGTAAAAAAAAGGGGGACCAATTTTTCACGCCCATTCTCGATCTTCGCGTCTATTCTTTCTCGTCTCTCCCTCTCTCTCTCTCTCTCTCTCTCTCTCTTTCACTCTCTTGCCCTGTCTCTTTCGTTCTTCTACGCTGTCCGCCTTTATCTCTTTAATCCAACCAGCTAGCCAGCCAGCCAACTAGTCAGCCAGCCGGGGGACTATCCATAAATCTTTCCGTACGCTCTTTCCGTATTAACTCCGTCATCGTGAGACTGGCCGGAATACCGGGGAATACGAAGGAGTCGCAACTCACGCAAGCAATAAATCAAGGGCCAACCTAGCACCGCGACAATCGGAGTGCACCGAGACTACGTTGTTCTCTGGTACGCAGAGTCGCGATCGTTGCCTGGGATTCGCCGAATACATAAAATTCTAAAAGGTCGCTTCGGGCCAACGAGCGATCCTCCGTACTGACTGACCACGCACTCGACGAACAAGCTACTAGGATTCCCGGAAGAGGACTTATTTCGTACCTGCGTTACATAAGTGGCCATCGAGGGAACGGTGCAAGTAACTTGAAAAGCAGAAGAGCAGCCGTCTCGACTATTCCAATCTCCCCGCCTCGAAGGAGAAAGAGGAAAAGAATTATCGATCGCGTCGTGCATCGGGCAGGCAGCTAGGGGGCCCGGTCAGCCGCGCTCAGCCATTGTCCGTTTGATGACGATGACATCATCGTGAAACGGGCATGACGCCCCTGGCCTCGAGATGCGACGAGACCACTACCGTCCTGCTGCTGCTGCTGCTACTCGAGCTGGCGCCCGGTGCACGCTGTCACCCGGTACGCTCGGCCGCCGCGACGACGTCCGCCCCGACTTTCACGAGATAGCATCAACAGTCGACGACGAGGGTGCGAGTGATGCCGCTCCTCGGCAGAATTATGACCATCGACGCCGAAGGTAGTCCGACTACGACGCCGTCAACGTCCACCAACGTCTTCGACGAGAACATGACGTGGTATCGACCGAGCGATGGCCCTACGTCTTCCACTAGCGAACAGACCGGCGAACGCCAACTGCATCGGCTGATAGCGGCTGCTGCGACGACTGCCACGTCCGGCTCGAGCGCCGGCGACCGCCGACCGATCACCGGCGACCGACCAACGAGCGAACGACCCGGCAACGAGACGGACAACCTCCGACGAGAGGAGAACACGGTCAAAACCGACGACTGTACCTGCGCCAGATCGAGATTCGAGGTCACCGGGCTACCGTTCCTCGTTACCTCGACGTACTCCGACCAAGTGGAAGTCGCTAATAGGAGCGAGGAGAGCGCCGTCGACTTAACCGGTACCACCGACCGGGAGGACGCCGAAGGACTGAGAGAGCTTGAACTGTTGTTCGGGTTGGGCGGCATAATGGAGGATCTCGGCGGGTCGTTCAACGATTCGTTCAACGAGAGTCTCCTGTGCAACGACAGTCTGTGCAACGAAACTTCGTACATCGTGTTCGGGGAGAGCCTGTACCCGTCGGGGTACACGCTGCCCCACATCATACTGGCGTCCGTGTTAGCGACGATGCTGATGATCGTGATCGTCGTGGGTAACATGCTCGTGATCATCGCGATAGCCACCGAGAAAGCGTTGAAGAACATTCAAAACTGGTTCATAGCCAGCTTGGCGGTGGCAGATTTCTTCCTCGGTCTGGTCATCATGCCGTTCTCGTTGGCGAACGAGATCATGGGATACTGGATCTTCGGTTATTGGTGGTGCGACATTCACTCGGCGATGGACGTGTTGCTGTGCACCGCCAGCATCATGAACCTGTGCCTGATAAGTCTGGACAGGTTCTGGAGCATCACGCAGGCGGTGGATTATCTGAAGAAGAGGACTCCTGCCAGAGCCGCGTTAATGATCGCTCTCGTGTGGCTCCTCTCCGCCCTCGTTTGCATCCCTCCGCTGTTGGGCTGGAAGAGACCCACTCCGGCCGAGGAGTACCCCAAGTGCAAAGTAAGAGAACACATCCCTTTTTATTAACGCTTTCAACGCTCGTCCGGCGATCCTGGGTCCATTTATTTCGAGTAAAAGCGTTTTTAACAGTCATCGATTTCTTTTACTAGTACAAGTAACGTGAATAATGAACGAAAAATCGTTCTAAATAAATATATCGAGTCTGCGGCGGTGGATTTAAACGAACCCAGGCGTTGCCGGCGACGTGTTAATGAACGAGACTTTAGAATTCTTGTATTCGGTAAGAAAACGCATCTAACGCATTCAGATAACATTGAAGACGTATACATAGGTCACAGCTCGATCGTAGCATATGCATCGTAAAATATTTAATATGGGTATATCCGTCCCGGCGATAACACGCCAGGGCTGAACTAGCGCTCGAGTCCCGGTTCAAGAGCAGTTACTGTTCAAAACACAATTTGCTTACTCGAGGAAAGCGTAGGCGGGTAATTCAGAAGTTAATCATTTCCGCGGTGGTTGTTCGGTCGAGTCGCTATTGCGAATGACAGATTGCGAGCCCGTGTTTCGTCTCTTCAAGGCGCGAAATTAAATCGGCGGAAGAAAGCTACGTGGCTCCGCGACGTCGGCGCGGAATAAAAGAGGGAACCGCCGCGAGGTTCTCTCGTTGAAATAACTCCTATCCCAGTTCGTTTGTCTCGACGGAAACCGTGATCGTTGCAACTTGACCGTATAATTCGTCCACTTATCGCCCTCGGAGAATCGCAGTCGAGTACTTAATTATTTCCACCGGCCGAGTTTACTGTCCGATGGTCCGAAACGAAGGATCGTTCGGCACACGTTGTTAGTGCGAACGGGAAACCGGAATTAAAATCTGTCCAATTCAACTAAATTTCTTTAACGAACTACGAACCGCGAATAAATGGAGTATCTTTTAAACGTGCCAGATTGATTTCGATCGGTTTTAAACAAAGTCGACGCGTTATACGTAATGTTAAACGTAGGGAAAAATGGTGAATAGGTATCTTTGCCATGCAGCATTCGGCGTAACCGCGTAGGATGATCTCGCGCGGAGCCAATTTCCAACCGAAGAGGTTTCCACGATGTATCCTGTGACGGTCACACGATACCAGAAGGCTGGCGGGTGAAGTATCGGACAGTCGCCTTTTATGCAGCGGCGAAACCCGACGAAACTCGCCCCCTATCCCCCGGCCCCTCTTCAACCGGCTTACGTTGGCCTCTACAAAATGCCCTGTGAGATTGGATTTCCATGCCCGACACTTTGCTTCGTACGTAGCTGACTTCCATCCACAAGTCAGACGCGTTTCTTTTCTATTTTCTTCCATTTCTACTTCGAGTCCTTCCCGAAAAGGTTTTCCCTTCGCCGCGTCACGATTCGCATAAGATCCGAATCGAACTCGCGGCAGCGGCGGCGGCGGTTCGAAATGCAAATTCCCGTCGGCGCTCCTCTCGGAAACGTTCCAAGGTTTATCGTTCTCATTGATCACGTTGTTTGCCGTTAATTGGAAGGCTTCAGCGCTCTCTCGAGCGGTTGCGCGCGCGCGGTTTAATTAAACCTCGCCGCGCTGGTCCGCACTCGCGAACGAGTCTCCTGACCGACCCGCGAGGCAACCTTTTTAACGGGGCGAATTTTCCAAATCAACCGGCGCAATTCGAAATTAGCCGACTGTGATTAACGAACATAATCGAGCCTCGCGAGGCTACCTGTTGTTGCCACGAGGGTCTCGTCTTCGTTTCAATCTGGCTCACGAATAAATTAGTAGTTTTTCGGTAGTTAATTATTAGCAGGTAGTTTGTTTCGGTGGAACGCGTTCCATTCGTGATTCGCGCTCTTTTGTCTCATAGTCCGTCCATCATGATGGAACTAGGCGAAAATGAGGAGCGAAGGAGAACTTGTTCGGTGTACAGCGAACGGTGTTATGTACGTAGATGAAATCGGGTGACAGGGAACAGGACGTGGAATCAAGGAGCTAAGCTTATCGGGTTAAGCCGCGTGTTGACTGAAGTCGGCATTAAGTTCGCGCGATACGGACCCGGACGAGTTTCTCTCCTTCCGCCTCGTGTAAAACCCAGGCCCGTGCACTATTAACCGACCGCACTACACCCACGGATTCGTACAACGCAAGAGCAATCGTTCGCTTTATTCAATTCAGTTATCTTCAGATATAAATAAATGCGGACAGGCTTCAGGGTTCCAAGGGACAAATTCGTAAGACAATATCGAAAACGTTTTCGATTTTATCCTCACGGATTTATCTCAGAGAAACCGTGTAACCATTGGATTTATCCAAGTTATTTCGAAGTGCACGTGTAAGATTGTTTTGATTAAAATCTGAATAAGGATTGGCGCGAGGATTAAATGTGGGCGTTAAAAAATCGAGAGACTCCGATTTATCCGACATTCTCGGTAGGACGACTACGAGAAGAGTGTCTCCCAGGTCAAACATTGTAGTCTTGTAATCTTCCATCGCCAGTGTGGCCTTCATCTTCATACTGTTTTTTTATGGTACCTTAAGTTCAGGTCTGTTTCTCCTTTAAGAGACCTCCTTTGATGAGATGCAGCTTGCACTATTTTGTAATTTCCTTGCACACATAACGCGATATCGTTGCAGTCGAAAGGGTTAACGAAGAGCACGCCGTTCTCTGGAAATCATTCTAAGAAATGGTAGAGGGCGATACGAGATTAAGCATCTATGGGTGGGACAGGGTTAGGAAGAAACTTTTCCTGAGGAGCTCGAAGGACGGGAAATGCCGCGGCGTCCTTTTTGTCCGTTTCCATCGAGCTTTTTTTCTGACGATCCACGCGCCGCTGCGCCGCGGAGAGACTGGCAAACTAATCGCGTTAAAAGATTGAAGCAGTGGCCCATCCCCGAGTACCGACGAGAGCCGCGCGCTCTCCTCTTAGCTCACGGGTTCTATCAGCGGGTATTTGTCGCTCGTCATTTGTCACCGGCGAAAATCCAAACGCGGTGACGAGAACGTTAGTTAGGCCGGGCGGCAGACGCCTGGGCGACGGCTCGGAGATTGGCAGCTCGGTAATAGGCGAGGCCGCGGTAAATTACATCTCGGAGAAAAATAGCGGAAGCGAAGCGTTAAGAAAGATTCATTTCCCTGCCAGTACACTCGCGGACGCGTCCCGAAATCAGCGCGGATTTCATTTCGTACGGATTACCCTAATCGACCCTGCTTACGACTTCATTCTGAGTAATTTTATAATTACCCAGCGTTGCCAACCCAGATGCATAGGGGATGAAGTCTCAGTCAGAATTCGTTAAATAGAGCCGCGTCTTATTGGGCCACGCGATTGCGTTATTAAGGTCAAGAGGTCATCGCTAATAACGCGTTCCCGGGAAAGTCCTAACCTGACCTAAGCCCACAATTATAGTGAACGTTAGCAGTTTTCTTAAATTTCTAAACACGCTGACCCAGCATTGCTGCATAGTGCATGGAGTAGTGAAAACCTTCGGAAGTGAAAAAGTCGAAATATCCTGGACGCATCCAATTGGTCGGCGTAGCACGAGCTTCGCGAATGTAGTCGCCGAAGGCTAACCAGTTTGCCAAATAGCGAAACACGATAGAGAAACGACGTTAATGGAGCGGTAAAAAAAGGCGAAGGTCATCGTCTAATGGGATTACCGTCCGATCTGTATAACAAGGCAGGTTTGGTAAAAAACCGTCGGATCTACTGTTTACTAGGAATGTCTCGTTTAGAAGATCTGGCGACAAAGGGGTCGGTGAGTGTAAAGCGTTCCGCGAGGCACGAGGAAGGGGACTTGAATGGGCACTTAAAAGGGTGGCGCGGGCCTTCTCTCCTCTCGACGGAATTTGTGCTCGATTAAAGTGTTTCGAGCATAAAAGCGAGCTGCGCGCGGCCGTTACGCCGCGACTCATCCGTGAACTTCTTTAACCATCAACTTTTCAAGGAGTGGAAATAAAGTTGAAAGCTCCGTTGCTAACCAGCCCCAGCCATGCCTCCCGCCCTCCCCCTGTTCGCCCCGTTGCGGTCACATCGTTCATTAGTTTACGATTAACGAACTCTCTTCATCAACAAAGTACGTCTAAATTTTATTAATAATTTTAAGTTGGGAACCTCGACGAACTTCATTGCGTCGAAACGACTGATTTCCAAGAGACGTTACCTTCAAAGTAAAATTACCCAAATCGTAATAATGCAATACGACCTTTGTGCATTTTCAACTACGATTAATTGCGAGATTTAATATGAGAGACGCGAGGTAATTGAAATGTACTGCTTTCTACTGCCACTACTACTACTACTACTACTACTACTACTACTACTACTTCTAATACTACTTTCTCGGAAAGTCGTTTTCCCGATGACGGAGGCAAAAATTCTCACGGAATGGAAAGCAAAAATTCAATCCACTCGAAAGGTCTCGAGGCGAACGTTGTGACGGTAAAAATAAAAGGACGTATCGTCAAGATGGAAAACAATTACCATCGACGCGCGATCGTCGTAAACGCAGAACGCGATCGTTCGCATTCTTCTAAGGCGTTGCGACGAAACGTTACCGACGAGGAACTCGAACGAGCGGACGTAAAGGGGTCCTATTCCTTCTGTAGTTTTATCCCAGCTCGTAGGCTTTCTCGAAACCGTTCTCAAATCACGAGACTCGTGGAAACGGTCGCAGGACTCGTTTTTTTTAAAGCCGACGATTCCCGCTATGCTACGTCCGACTGGAAGTGGAGGCGGTCGAAATAAAATTTCCGACTTCGCAGGCCCGTCTCTCGTCGCGTCAACTCAATTTCCCTGGCACGCCACACCGTCGGAACGCCACATCGATACCTCGTAAGGTTCACCTGCCGGGTTTCACCGTCGGAAACGTTCTTCAGGCTCCTACGACACACTCCTTGACTCCTTCCACTTGCTATTTCTCTTTGATATACGATACGGAACAGTACCCAGATTGCATTTATGAAAAGAATCTCAAAGTACTCTGTAGGTAGAAATTGTTGCTTATTATTGGAAGAAACAGCGTTAAAGGTGAAAGAGCGGC